AAGTAGCTAACAAAAGATGTGTGTTTAATTTTAATTCATTTTTAAACTTAAACTGAAAATTAATTTATCCAAAATCTTTCAGTTTTCAAAAAAAGGCTTGACACCCGTATTCAGTATCTCGGACGGAAAATTTACTTAACAAAATATGTATGAAAATTAATTTTTAAATATTTTTGGAAAATTAAATTTCCTTCTAAGATGCTGAATACAGGCGTTAAGCCTATAAATATAGCTTCCCTTTTTTGAATGTTAAAAATTGGTTTTTTCTTTGTAAAAATAATGAAAATGTTTAAATTATGTATTGAAAAGAAAAAAAACGTTTGTATAATTAAACCCACGCTATAATACGTTCATCTGCGTCTTTACGAGCGGCCACAGCTTCTTTAAGTTCTCTTCGTAAATCTTGTGGTGTTATATTGGCAACTGCTGGACTATCTACATTATCAGCCTCATCTGATGATAATTTCTTAATTGATTTATCTTTTTTTCGTTTAATTTCATCAGCCGGTGATGAGATTAAAGCAAAATTAGGTGGTGACATTATAGGACCAACCTTATTGGTAATATTACCACCATTTATGCTGCCACCATCGGAACTAGAAAATGAATTGCGCATATCTGATGGTGGTCTTTGTTGTGCCGTTACAGAAGCTATATCAGCCGTCGAAGTTGTAGAGGGTGTTTCCACTATATGTAATGGTTCTTCTTCCTGTTCATCTAGTGAGGATGTAGCCGGCTGATGGTGGATGGTGCCATAATGTAGATTCATAGGAGTTGGTTGTGTGCGACGTGAGTGCGGAAAAGATTTGCGTGTTCTTAAAGTTTCATTTTCATAGATGATATCGGGTACACTGCGATTGTTATAAAGGGCAGCTAACATTTGTCGCATATATTTATTTTCTGCCTCTAAATGATTGAGACGTTTATTAGTTTCTTTTCTATCCACACGTAAATGATGAACTTGTGACTGTAATTGGAAACAAAAAGGCAAATAATTAGCAAATGTCTTTAAGAGAAAAACAAACAAAAAAAATACCTTTAATTCTTCTATATCACGCATCATACGTAAATTTGATTCATTCATGGACCATTGTCTTTCCTCCACCATGGCCTTAACACGATTTAATAAAGCATCTTCTCTTACTCTAGCCGCATCTTTAACCTCACGCACCACATCGGTCATCATACCGGGTGTATAGGCACCTATAAATAAAATTTATTGACTTTCAATATTAATTTGATTCAATTTAAACCACACTGGGGTCCCTCTCTTTTTTGTTTTTAAAACGCACCTGAATGATATGATGGCGCTGGACTTTGTGTACCAAATGCACTGCCAAACACCATTGGTTGGCTATGGGTACTTAATCCACTTATGCTATCTCTACGGTGCCTCATACCCAAATTGGGAGCGTGCTTTAAAACTTCAATACAAACTAAAAGTTGAAACACCAACAAAAAATTGTACAGGATAAAAGGACAATACAAAAAATTAAAAAAAGACAAAAAAAAAAAAAATAAAATTAACAAAATACAACAATAATTTTTAAATTACAGTTACAATTATACATACATTGTCAAATTTGTTTAAGTAGATACAAAGTTTAGTTTAGATTAGTTAGATAGAAAGAGAAAAGTGTTATAGTTTTGTTTTACAGAGATAAATAGAAAAAATATATTAGATTAGATTTAACATAATAGTAATCAATTATAGTTATACATTTATGTACAGGGATAAGAAAGTGTGTTGGAAAATAAAAAAACACAAAAAAAACAGGCGTGATAGGTGATATAATTTCCTTATAAATGTTTCTTAATCTTTAAATATAACTAATCAAATTCTACAATTTCTGAAGATTTAAAAAGTGCCTCCAATAATTACTATTATTATCTAGATATGTATGTTAGCGGTTAGTTGCTTTCTCTTTAATTATTGCAATATTTATATTTTATTCGATTATTATATATTTTATAGAAATGCAATAGTTTTTACTCCTAGTTAGGTCGACCAGATTATATCAGAGGTAAAAAATGCATTGATAAATCATATGCCATGAGCAATCAACTTTGGCATAAGATTGTGTTAGCACTTTGTGCATATAGGAAGTCGATAAATTAGAACAAATACATAATTAGGCAGATTTTTAAAAGCACTATTATCTTAAAGACCTGTTCCTTTAAAAAGTGTCTAAATATTATCACGTTTATAACGTTTGGCCTAAATAAAGCAATTTCTGAAATAGTCTTAGTGTAGGAGATTTATTGGATCAGCTAAATTATACAAAAAGTTACCGCTTTTTATTGTTAGTAATATCGAGGGACTATATTCAATAGTCTCTATCTAAAATAATACAAGTTTTCAGGAGAGCAAAAAAACTGTTTATTTCGCTAGTTCGTGAAGATTTTTTAATATTTATCTTTTACAATATATTTTTACGACCATATTCTAAACCATTATATAAAAAGAATTTTAATTTTTGCATTATTTACAAAATTATTCACAAATTTATATCAGATAGAGCTTATTTTTCTACGAAAATGTTCATTCAACCAACAGATAGAGAGTTTTTCATGGAAACAAAATTTTTATTTGAATTAAAATCAATAAATATTATATTTTATACAATTTAATGGAGGAAAAGAAACCAAATTGTTGAAAAAGCAATAGATTATAATGTTTTGGTCCAAAATCAATGTTATATGGTTAAACACGACAATAAAATTGATTTAATTAGTATCATAATGAGCGATATCTCAAAAACTATTAGACCGATTTTAAATATTTTGACGGATTTGTGTTCAGCATGTCCAAATTATTAAGAAGACTTGTTTTGCAACAGAAAATTATCCAAAGGGATCGAGTTTGAAGCAATTTTTGGATAAGATAGAGAGTTTTGCATTCAGAATTTTTCTTTTTTTAAGATAGAGAAATTTAAAAAATGCTATAAAATTGCCAAAAAATATTTTTTTCTTTGAAATTTATATCACTGATGCGCGATAGTTTGCTGAATATTTTGCCATCAAAATCTCATTTTCTTAAAAATGAGAGATAGCGACTATTGAATATAGTCCCTCGATATATAGAAAAATTTAAAAATATAATTCAATACTAAAATTTCCTCAAGTCTGGATACAAAAACTTAATTTTAATAAACACAAAATACATATGTATAAAATTCTTTTTAAAATCACACTTATTTAAAAAAAAAATACATATACAAAAGGTAATCTATCAAATTTCCTTCACCTCCTTTCAACTTACCTTTAGCTTCATGCAAATCTCGACATATTTTCGTATTCGTTTCATGTAACAATTGGATTTGTTCCATTAAAATATTAAAGAATTTATTATTTTGATCCATGTCATTGGGTAAATTATTACGACGATCTGGTGTATTTTGGCCACTTAATTTCGAATCATTATCCGAGGGATTCAATAAACAAGGATCACTAAATCTGAAACTATATAAGAAAATAAAAATTTTTAGTTTCTTTATAAATTAACCACACTTGATCAACAACAATTACCCTCGACTAATATTGGGATTACTACCGCTGCCGTCTAAAACATCAGTAGAATTGTTTTCATGTTCGGATGATGTACCACCACTGCCGCCCATAATATTGACCATGGGCGGTAAACTGGCAAAATCTTGTGACCCATCATTTTGTTGATAATAACCACCACCAACTGGTGGAAACATCATGGAATAGCGATTATTAAAGGAATTTGAAGAATGTTTCATAAAATTTGGCATGTTCTGTAAAATGTTGATTTAAAAATGAATACTTTTAAAGCTCTGTTGAAAAGAAAACTTACTCTTTGAAAACCTTGACTGAAGGGAAGATTATTAAAACTATTGTTATTTGGCATGTTGTTGCTACCATTGTTCATGGGATTTGTTCTCATTGCAAATTGCTGTTGTTGTTGTTGCGACTGTTGGTGTTGATTTAAATTGGCCATATTAAAAAGTACTGGAGGCTGTTGTTGTTGTTGCGCCGATGATGATGTTGGCATTGAAAACATATTTTTATGATTCAAATTATTAACAGACATTGCTGCAGCTGCTGCTGCAGAAGTTGCAGCATTTGCTGTCATCATATTGTTATTAGTGGGATTATAATCGAGAAATTCCGATGAAGATGATAATTGTGCTGTTGAGGCATCCTTTAGACAAGTTTCTAGCCAGGCATCCAAATGATCTTTTGAATAGCCGCTATTACCACTGCCAATAGTTGGTGGTAATATAGTTGTAGGTAGTGCTGTTGTAGTTGCTGCAGTATTGCGTGATTTTAGTTTTTTACGTTTTCCCACTTCACTGATTGTTGCTAAAAAAAAAAATTATAAAAAAAAGAAAATTAACAATAGTAATTAAATAAATATTTAATTAACATGTAATAAATTAAAGAAATAATTATAAGTTTTGAATTTAATTTTTTTGTACAAATAAGTATTATTTAAATTGACCTTGATCATTTTAAATATCCGCTCCACTTGTTGCTGTTATTGCGGCAAATCTTTACACAAAGTGTTTTTTGTTGGAAGAGATTTAATTTTGAATTCAATGCAAACTATTTAATTGAATTTATTTCTTTTGTTCTCTCTGCAGTTCATTGGTTGTGTTTGTTTTGTTTATTTGTTTTGTTGCATTGCCATCATCAAATACCATTTTTAGTTCGATTTATGTCTATTGTATTTATAAAATGTTCTATTTCCGTTTAAATCACATCATATTGTTTACGGATGATTAAGTAAAGAATCTATTTCAATTCCATTTTTACAAATAAATATACATACTGAACAGTTGTAAATTGATAAACTCACAAATTCTATAAGAGAATACATTGTATATCTCAATTGTTTGATGCAGACAAGGTGTAGTCACTATTCGTTTAAGGGAATGATGTCAGGTTTTAAATATAATTGAATTAACAAAAATTGCAATATTTTGCCTCCTGAATTTAAAACTAATGCTTAAAAATGTTTCATTTATTTGCAGAAAACTGGATTTTATTAACTGGCGAAGTAATCACACCTACAATTTGAAACTGGAGTACATTAATATTTTCTATTGTATGGATTTTTATGTGTATTCATTTTGTTATTTAAAATTCGTTTAAAGTTATAATTAATTAATATAAATAATTTCCATCTCCTTCGTTAAATGCATTTATCATCACTCCCTGGGTGTCTTCGCTATTTTCTTTATAGGTTTTGCAAAAGTCTGGCAACGCTGTATTAGTGTTAAATCAGCGCCATCTATTGTTTCCATAAAGGATTTTAATTTTTCCAAAAAATTTGTTTTTTCAGTCTGGCAACATTTGGTCAAAATTTCGACCCCACTAACTAAAATATGGCAACTCCGAGAACATAGTGATGCCATATTGTTTTTCTTTGTTGCATTAATTTTTCGTGCCATTGTTGCCAGACTGAGAAATCGATTTTTTGGGAAAACAGAAAACCATTGATCGAAATAATAGATGGCGCTGTCATGACCTTATTGCCAGTGTTGCCAGACTTTTAAAGATTACTTAAACAATTCGGTATTACTAGGATATTGATGGAGAATTTTAGTCAAATTTAGTATTTTCTTTTCCTTCACAGTCTATTATTATGGATTGACAAACTAGAAGGGAAATATGTATATTGAAGTGCAAGTGTTCTTTCATGATTCAAAGAAGAGCTTTCTGGTTTTTTTTTTCCAGCGAAAGTCGAATTAAAGGTTTGTATGTTTTTTGATGGATATTTTCTGTTTAAAAGAAAGACTATTACTTTTGTGTGATTTTGTTCCCTTAGAGTACTAGCGAATGTGTGTTGAGTCGGAGATTCGGAAAGCATATTCTTACTTATGGTGTTATTGTTTGGCCTGATAGATCCATTCAGCATTACTCAGGACAACCAGGAAAATATGGTGGATATAACATCCATTGATATCTACTTAAATGAATCACGTCCTTATTGAATAAGTATTGTATCAGCAAACAGTTTGTAGATCAGAATATGGAATTGATGGACTGAAAGATATCGGTTCATAAATTTAAACAAAAATCTATTTTTTTCCTTTGAAAGTCCCATCTATTGACTTTAAAAATAAAGTTTTAACCTTCGTTATATCTTGTTCCTTATCTGAGTTTTCCCAATCTAAAGATTGATATATGTATCTATAAATTTACACACGGCAAAAACATCAACAGAAGCAAATGGAAAAATTGTTAAAAGTTGGGGCGTAAAAGTTTGCCGTGAAACAAAGGCGAAATATTGCAAAACATAGATTTCTTCATTTATAGTTCTTTCAAACTTATGATTAGAATATCTCAAATAAAGAACAAGATATAACATAGATGATACCTGTATTTCAAAGCATAACTTCATAAATAAAGTGAACTTCGCTGTCTTAAAACGTTTCGAATATGGCGAAAAACACAGTTTCTGTAGTCATAATGGGATTCAGAGCAGCACAATCCTTTATAAATGTATACACGCTGGTTTTAGGGTAAACAAATTGTTAAACTGTGTATTTAACGATTATTTAAAATGTTATGAACGAAATTGTCAATTTGTTTGATCAGACAGACCAAAGTCTATCGATATTTTTCGCTTAAGTATAAGTGGACTCTTATGTAAGTTCTTTCTCCTTCTTCTCTATCATTCCACACATACAGAGCACTTAACAACATTTATGTGAGAAACAAATTCATTTGAATATTTACTTGACATGAATGATTCATAAGAGTAAAAAATTTGTTTATTCATTCATTTTCTTTGGTTAACAATAATAATATTTAGTTGAAGCAGCGACAAGAGTAGTTAAGACCGAATATAAATAAACAGTTAATAAATATATCAATATGAGGTAAATACATTTGTACGAGTAGTATTCTTTGGTATGTGTGTTTAAGCCTTGACAAAAGAACACTCGTATAAATTGAGAGATTTTAAGCCCACATTGACATAATTTGCTAACTTTTTTTTATATTATTTTGCTTTGTTTTTATTCTCAACATACCAGACATTTCTTATTTTTAAATGCAAAACAGAAATGAAAAAAAAATCAAATTCCACTTGAGTCATCGTCAACTGTTAAAAATGACCGACCACATAAAGAGAAACGACTGAAAAAATTGCAATCAATTTGCTTTGATTTTTTTGCAATGTCTAGCAAATACTTGTAATTTTTTTTTTTGCTATAATAATCAAAAACAGTAATTGATATTAACCATGCAAAATTGATATTTAGATTTGATTAGAATTACAAAATGTGGATAATGTAATATAATATCCTCTGCTAAATCTAGTAGTAAACTGTGTAAACGTTGTTTGACATCCATAAAACACTCAAAGTAAATAGACAGTAAAAAATTATTTTTTTTTTTATAACAGTTAAATTATTGAATTTTAATGAATATTTTTTTCTTTTACCAGTGTATAACTACAAAGTATGTCTAATTTGAGTATAAAAATAATATTAACTGCCATGTAATTTGATTAAAAGTGGAAATGTATAATTTTCTGCTCAATTTGATTTGAAAATTTCTATTTATACGTTTAAAAAGTAGTTAGCCAAAGTAGCATGAGAAAGATATAATTTTGTCATATAAGATAAGATCACACGTTTCTTTTGAAGTATTAAATTTCTCACGATAAACGACGATTGATTAGAAAAAAATGTATAATGAAAAAATATTAAGGAAATAGAAATTTTTATACACATGTATTTTATAAAATTTAAAATATGTATGTATGTGTGCAAAAAAAAGTCTTATGTTTCCCAGAAAATGTAAGAGAACAAAGTTCGTACTTTTGACCAGAACAAAATAGAGTTTTCTTTACAATAATTTTTTTTCACTCCTTTTATTAAGATTTTTATTTTTTCTGGTTTTCTTATTAAAAATTCTGCGTCGGAGATGCGATCAAAATTTCTTTTTACAATTTATTAAGGAAGTTGAGTTTTTTATTTGATTTTTCAAATGAAACAATATTTTTGTCGGAAATATGAGCGATTACAGATCTAACTTATTTTCTCTATCCAACTCTTATTTGTAAGAGACCGTATATTGAAATCTTCTCAGGTTTAATTTCTTCAGATTAATTGTAAAGAACGATCGATTTCCTTTCTGAATTAATGTAATTGATGTTTTTATGTTTTCCCAGTAAAATTTGATTATTGTTGGGAAGATGAGAGATTAAAGATCGACCTCCTTTCCCAAATAAAACTTTAGTGAAATAAATTTTCCGATTTCTTTTTAGTCCCGTGGTTTTTGTATACAAAAATATGGGGATTCAAGGATCGAGCTCTTATTCTTAATTAAACATAAACCATTATTTATAAACGTATAAAGAATTTAAAATTTTTGGGTTTAAAAAAAGTTTCTTATTATCTAAGAGCAATTACAGTTCCAATATCATTTCTCCATCAACGAAATTAGATTTTTGTTTTTTCAGAGTTTTTTTATTAGATTTTTAGTCAAAAAATACAAGTGATCTTCATAAACCATTATTTATGAAGATATTGAGATTTTAAAATTTTTGGGTTTAAAAAAAGTTTGGTATTGTCTTAGAAGAATTACAGTTCCAATAACATTTCACCATTAAACGCTTATTTAGGAAGTTATAAGCGACATAAGAATCGATGTTTAGTGAGCTTTTAGTTTTTATATAAAATCGATGTTATATAAATGTATATGCATAAGATACATACATATACCGCAAACTTTTCATTCCCGCTATGAGGTGAACAATTCCCATTTCCACATTTACTAATTGTTTAAACCAAATTTTATTTCAGAACACATAAGTATAAACGATAAAATAAACAGAAATAACTTTAAATCAATTTTAATTTCTTTTCCTGAAGACAACTTTAAAAAAGATAAATAAATCAATTCGTAACGGTTGTATTTTACTTCTAGAGTACATCTGTATGACCTTCCGTGACTTCTATAAAAAGAAACGGTCGTTTTTAAATTAAAAAAGTCCAATTTAATCGTAAAACGTACAATAAAAACGCACATACTATGGATTCGAACAGTATACAGGCATATATATCATCAGCGTGTGCGTGATAGACTAAAGAATAAACAAAAAATATAAAAAAATACAAGAACATAGTGGCAATTTCATTATTAATAGATTTACTTAAATAAGAAAATCTGTCTTGGATCCCAAAGTAAATAAAACAAATGCATTTTCTTCTCTTTGATGGAGATACTATGCTGCTTTATCTGGTTTCATTTAAAATAGAATTGAACCATATCACTATAATGATTCTGGATTCAAGAATCCCTATTTAACATATCTATGATCTGGTTGGTTATTCCCCCTTCAAAGTTGTTTTTATGGATAAATCTGCTTCTTATAGACACATAAATATTTGATAGTTTTTCTGTTCTTTTCAATGAAGGAGACAAAATTATGGCAGTATGGCGGCAAGAGCAAAAAAATATTATTCTATATATCAACACATTTCATCTTTTAATGAATGAATACAATTTATTTATAAATTAATGAATGAAATGTTTGTCTGTTTAACATGATGCTGGTGGTGGCAAACAATGGATATGAGTAGAAAATACTTTGGGATGTCTTACAACTCTGTTATCGGTATGAAATATATTTAGAACTTTGAATCAATCTAAATAATTTATTTAATTGAAAGTAAACATGTTTTACAAGCAATTATACATATTTTTACAAAATTTCCTTTAACATTTGAACGATACAAAATATATTACAAAATTAAACTACGATTACGCACAATTAGTCTGCCTGCAGATTAACCCACGTTTTCATTGAGATATGTATTGAAAGACCCAGAACATCTAGCTAGTTAGCACCAAATTACTATAGAGTATATACTAGACTACATACTTAATAGGCTACAGACTATACTATAGGCTAGACTATGAACTATAGACTAGATTATAGACTAGACCATAGACTATATTATAGACTAGATTATAGACTAGACTATAGATTAGACTATAGATTAGACTATAGACTAGACTATAGACTAGACTATAGACTAGCCTATAAACTAGACTATAGACTAGACTATAGACTAGACTAAAGACTAGACTATAGACTAGACTATAGACTAGACTATAGACTAGACTATAGACTAGACTATAGACTAGACTATAGACTAGACTATAGACTAGAC